TCGATGTGCAACCTTCACTCTGGCTCCGCTATGTGGATGACATCTTTGCTCTGTGGCCTCATGACTCCAGTCTCTTCCAACCTTTTCTTGAAGCTCTTAATAATCTTGCCCCTTCCATTAAGTTTAAAGCTGAATGGGAATCTAATTCCTGGCTTCCTTTCCTTGATGTCCATGTCCACCGCTCAGATACAGGTTTTTCCTTTTCTGTTTACCGAAAACCCATGCACAGTGGCATGTACATTCACTACTTTTCCTATCATGCTTCCCCTGTCAAGAAAAGTATTCTTATTTCCCTCTTTCTCCGTGCCCTCCGCATCTGTGATCCTCAGTTCCTTCCAGCAGAAATTTCCACTCTTCATAATTCGTTTTCCCGTCTTGGCTACCCTTCCCATTTCATAGACTCTGCCCTCTCACGTGCTAAACGCAATTTCTTCTCTCCCAAACTCTCTACTCATGGGAACTCTTCTATCCTCTGCCTTCCCTACATTTCCGGTCTTTCTAATCTCAACAATTCTCTCCGTCCCTTAGACATCAAGCTTACCTTCCGCCAGACTAACACTCTTCGCACTAATCTCGTTCATACCTCTCCTCCCTCTACAGATGTTCCTGGTGTCTACTCTATTTCTTGCCCCTCCTGTCCTCTTCAATACTTCGGAGAAACTGGTCGATCTCTTTCTGACAGACTTAGGGAGCACAAAAATAGTGTTAGGCTTGCCGACGCTAACAATGCTCTTTTCTGTCACGTCAGAGATCATAGCCATCCTATTGACTGGTCTTCTGCTAAAACTGTCTTCCCTACTTCCAACTCGAACAGTCGCCGTCTAGTTGAATCCTCTCTAATACACAACTTTCCTTGTATGAACCTTAGCCCCGGCTTCGTCTCTGTAGATGCCTTCCTCTCCCACTACATTGTAAAATGCTCCAAACTTCATAACACCCATGACTTAACCTGACTCCTCATTTTTTCTTTTTCTTTTTCTTCTTCTCCCTCTTCCCCTTTACTCTTTCCTTTTCTCCTCTGGGTTGTCTTTCTCTCTTCTGTCTCGTGTTTCTGTTCCTTCTTCACTTATTTCACCACTTCCCTTTTCACGCACCTCTGTGCGCTTGCTCTCCCTCTGTGGGCACCTAGCTCTCTTGCAGTGCTCCCCTTCCTTTGTATTTGACTGGCTCGTCCTCCTTATTCCCCACTTCTACCACTACTACTACCTCTTCTACTACTACTTCTACTACTACTACTACAACTACTGATGAAATTAAGACACATGTGCGGCGTCTGGTTGTCTTTGTTGTGGACGTTTTGCCATCCAGTGGCTGGCTGGATGGTGAAACGTCTACGATAGGGATGCCCGGGTGTTGCGCATGTGTCTTAATTTCATCTTGTCGGTATTATGTACCATTCTTGTACTACTATTACTACTACTACCACCACCTCTTCTTGGCTATATATAGCCGTCCTGCCCCACTTCTGGTCATTGTGACTTTGTAAATGGTCCCAGTCGGACCGAAACGTCGTCGTAAGCTTCTCTCTTTCATGTGCGGGTTATTTGTGTATCGTTCCAGTCACGGTATTGTGCCTTTTTTGTTATTTATGTTAGGGGTACATATAGTGCCTCTGCTCACTCTCTCAGGACCCATGGAGAGATGTTATCTGGTCCCATTGCCTTTGAGGTATCTAGCTCACTTAGAAGCCTCTTCACTTATTCGTTTTTTTTTTTTTTTTTTTTTTGTGTGTTTGTTTCTCTCTGCATGTTTGTGTGTACACTTGCCTAGTTGTGGTTGCAGGGGTCGAGTCACAGCTCCTGGCCCCGTCTCTTCACTGGCGACTACTCGGTCAGTCTTCCCACACCATTAGCTTTATCATACCTCTTCTTAAAGCTATATATGGATCCTGCTGTGTGTCTGTCTGTCTGTTGTTGTCTGTCTGTTGTCTGTCTGTCTGTTGTCTGTGTTGTCTGTCTGTTGTCTGTCTGTTGTCTGTGTCTGTTGTCTGTCTGTCTGTTGTCTGTCTGTCTGTTGTCTGTGTCTGTTGTCTGTCTGTCTGTTGTCTGTCTGTCTGTTGTCTGTCTGTTGTCTGTCGTCTGTCTGTTGTCTGTGTTGTTGTCTGTGTTGTTGTCTGTCTGTTGTTGTCCTGTCTGTTGTTTGTCTGTCTGTTGTTTGTCTGCTGTTGTTTGTCTGCTGTTGTCTGTCTGTTGTTGTCTGTCTGTTGTTGTCTGTCTGTTGTTGTCTGTTGTCTGTCTGTTGTTGTCTGTCTGTTGTTGTCTGTCTGTTGTTGTCTGTCTGTTGTTGTCTGTCTGTTGTTGTCTGTCTGTTGTTTTTCTGTCTGTTGTCTGTCTGTCTGTTGTCTGTTTGTCTGTTGTCTGTCTGTCTGTTGTCTGTCTGTCTGTTGTCTGTCTGTCTGTTGTCTGTCTGTTGTTGTCTGTCTGTTGTTTTTCTGTCTGTTGTTGTCTGTCTGTTGTTGTCTGTTGTTGTCTGTCTGTTGTTGTCTGTCTGTTGTTGTCTGTCTGTTGTTGTCTGTCTGTTGTTGTCTGTCTGTTGTTGTCTGTATCTGTGTGTCTGTCTTCATTTGTCTGTGTCTGTCTGCCTGTGCATCTCTCTGCCTGTCTACCTATCTACCTGGAGGGTATTCCGGGGATCAACGCCCCCACGAGCCAGTCCACAATCATGACCACAATTGCTGTGTGTGTGTGTGTTTTACATACACTAGACTCATAACTCATACAATCATAACTCACGTCTTCAATAACTCGATATTTCCATTTTGTAAAAGTCCAAGACCATTGAAAAAAATTGTTTTGATGAGCAGTGACCAAGTATTCAATGTTAATGAGACAGTCATATTATAAGAAGGAAGATGACACAGAATTTACATCAGCAAGCAAGATAAAATTATACCTAGTTTTAAGACAGGCAAGGACTGTTTTAGCTTGCTTCTGTATGCTAATGCATCAGGTGATTTAAAGTGCTAGCCTCTTTATTTATTGCTCCAAGAATCCCCATGCTTGTTATTTGGCAGTCTAACCAAACAGCATGGATGAGTGAGGCCTTATTTATTGACTGTTTCAAAATTATTTTATTCCTTCAGTCAAGATGTACCTGTAGAAAAAACTCACTGAAAGTTCTTTTCACTTTTAATAATTCTTGTAGTCATTCTCATCTCTCATAGGATGTGGACTCAATGTGAATGCACTGTTTTTACCCCCAAGTTCAACATATCTGATACAATCAATGGATCAAGGAATAGGACATTTAAGTACCACTCCACACTCAGGATGGTGTAAAACCTCCTCACAGCAATGGATGACAACTCAATACAAGTAGGCTGTAGAAAATTATGGCCTAGAGTGGTGAATAGTTTCACAGGTTTTTCCCTCAATAAACAATCAGGTTCAAGAAGCAATCAGGTTCAGGAAACTGTGGATATGACGAGAAGTGTGCCAAGTGAGGGCTTTAAAGATATGAAAGCAGAAGAATTATTTAAATGAACCCTTCAGTGATGAGGATAATGAACAAGCTGCAGAAGAAATTCTGGAGGAGCTCAATTTGCAGATAAAAGGAAATTCCTCTGAGCATCCTACATTCCACAAATCTCTCTCAGTTTATGCTTTAGATGTGTTTTAGGCCCATGGCAATGTAATAAGCTCAATCATTCCATCAATATTTACTTGGCTATGGTACATCACATTCCCTCAACATTACTAGGCTGGGGTCCCTCACACTCCCTCAGGATTACTAGGCTGGGGTCCCTCACACTCCCTCAACATTACTTGGCTAGGGTCCCTCACACTCCCTCAACATTACTAGGCTGGGGTCCTTCACACTCCCTCAACATTACTAGGCTGGGGTCCCTCACACTCCCTCAACATTACTTGGCTAGGGTCCCTCACACTCCCTCAACATTACTTGGCTGGGGCCCCTCGCACTCCCTCAACATTACTTGGCTGGGGCCCCTCGCACTCCCTCAACACTACTTGGCTGGGGTCCCTCACCCTTCAATATTACTTGGCTGGGGTCCCTCACCCTTCAATATTACTTGGCTGGGGTCCCTCACCCTTCAACATTACTAGGCTGGGGTCCCTCACACTTCACTTCCTTAATATTACTTTGTTGGGGTCCCTCAACATTACTTGGATAGTCCCTCACACTCCCTCAACATTACTAGGCTCAGGTTGCTCACACTCCCTCAACATTACTAGGCTGGGGTCCCTCACACTCCCTCAACATTACTAGGCTCAGGTTGCTCACACTCCCTCAACATTACTAGGCTGGGGTCCCTCACAATCCCTCAACATTACTAGGCTGGGGTCCCTCACAATCCCTCAACATTACTAGGCTGGGGTCCCCTCACCCTCCCTCAACATTAGTACTATAGGCTGCCATAATAAGGATCTTCCCTATGCTTGGAGAACTATGCCTATCTGCAAATGCACTCTGCATAGCTTGAAATACTAATAGAATTAGGACATTACATAACAGAGAATATTCTTTAAGTGAACTAGCATAATACCTAAACACCAAAATATACCTGAGCACCTAAATAGGTAAGCTTAAGCTGGGGTCCCCTAACACTCCCTCAACATTAATAAGCTGGAGTCCTTCACACTTCAGCAATTTCTAGGATAATCACTAAGGTTCTCAGTCAAGAGTCACTGGTCTCCCTGGGGTATTTGCTGTTCTCCCTGGGGTATTTGAGCCTGTCACTACTGGAACTTGCAACACACACCCGAAGACCCTTTCCCATCAGTGCCCAATGCAACTCTCGAATAATATGTAATACCACTGCAAATTTGTGCACATAGAAGGAGCACAAAAACTTTCCCTATTTTTTTCAGTTTTTCACTTTCATTTCCAACATAAAATTTTAAAAGCACATTTTGTGTTAAATACACAATTCTCTGGTCTTTGAACAATCTACTGAAACATCAGGGAGTATGTTAACACTATAATCTAGTTAACCTTGAGGTCACTAAAGAATTAAACAAAAATTGCCTATAAGTACTCACGCCTTTCACAGCAGCATAAACTGGGACGTGTATCTCTGGGTAGCTACCAAGGCCAGAACTCCTTAACCTAGAAGCAGCCTCACTGCTAGGGGCAACCACACCTGAGCAAGACAGCCCCTCCTGTGCCACCTGTAATGCACAACCTCTATCTCAGACATCTGTAACCAATACTCAAGTCTATACGGTAAACATGTGGAACTCTCAAACATTTTTATAAATGAAAAATAGAAGACAGGTAAACTAGCAAGTACAGTATAATTTAACAACTGGTGAGAAAACAAAGTACTGTAACTAGAAAATAAATATAAAAGAGCTATCAGAAAAAATAGATACATATATTCAAAGAAATGATAGAAGTTAAAAATTTTATCCATTTTCTTACATTGTATACAGTACTTTTGCCTTTTTTTAAATAAAAGTTCACCACTTTTTATTACATATATTTTCACATTTCATCTTCAATATGTATTTTTTACCACCATAATTAGAACTGCTCAAATAGTTTAAAATTTCTACCTTTTATATTTACCTGGCCTGAGACTGGGCCACAAGGACAGTGACTCCAGGTAAATCAACTCCAGATAGACTGATACATTTTTATATTTTCCTATTGTTACCAAGTTTTAATTAGGTTTTTTGTTTATGCATACAAATACTGACCTTAAACTCAACCTCATATACAACAATGAACAGCCTACTGAGCATAACTGCAAATACTACAGAGCAAACAATGCTAAAAGCATCTTTAGTAAAAACAACTCTTTAAATATCTTCAAATACAACATAATATCTCTGTGTACAATGAAAGTATCTCAGCATTGCTTTAGTCACTGAATACCAACATTTCTTTCATTATACTAACAGATCTGATTAAACCATGACTCAGTTATGTATTCAACACATCTTGGTATACAGTTACCCATAACTGTATACCCAGGTGTGTATATTGTATCTCTGCTCAATTTATCTGTAATAAAAATAATGAAGCATTTTAGAGAATCCCTCACACCAAGATATTACTAAACTTCAGTGACAATCCGAGGAACATGATAATAAAAAACAAATTCAATCAAAATTACTTACCGTAATAATTATTAGTGACTTCAAGATAAATCTTTGTATTGTTATATTAAAAATGTACAATACTGTTAGATAAGGCACACATGCAACAATCAGGAATCTTTACTCAAAACATTTCATCTGCACAGGAGGTTTTCTCAGTCCAATACGGAGGCAAGTTTCATAGTGGAGATTGTGAACATCTTAAAAATTACCTCTCCACTTCTTCCACTATCACCAGTATGAATGTCGCCTCTATAATCGACAGAAGCCTGTTGTTCAGGTGAACCATTTTGGTAATAAAGATACCCAAGTGTTGCATGTGTGTCTCATCCATCATGATAAATCTTTGCTGCCCACAGCCAGGCTTCCTGAACAGTTTGTGTTCTTACCTCCTAATGCTCTTAAGTGACAAAACAAACTAAAATCACTGAACCATCTGCTTCTGATCTACATCATATCTGTAGGTATCACAGGCAAGACAGCAAACCACTACCTTACTTTTCTCAATACAAACAATAAAAAAAATTGAAATAAAATATTACTTTCAAATTCCAGAATAATTCATCAATTAACCCCTTGACTGTCGCAACCCCAAATCTTGAGGTGTCTCCTGGTGTCACAAATCCCTCCCCCCCCCCCAAAAAAAAAATCTTATGAAATGATAGAGAATCTTTTCCCGATTGTAATGACACCAAAAGAAAAATTTGATGGAAAACTGACAGAATTACGCTCTTGCAAAGTTAATAACCTCAGCGATATTTACGAATCGGCTATTTTGCCCACTTTGAGCCCTATTTTTGGCTAATTCCATTGTTCCAGTCGACCAAACTCAGCTATTTTTTTAGAACTCCATTTTTTCTATCGACCGAGTACAAGAAACTGCCCATTTACCGATTTCAACTACCCAATAACGTGGTCAGAAATTAGTAATTTGGCCAATTTCACGAAAATTAAAAAATATGACAATTTCAAAATAGGGTCCAGAATGAACAGTGCAGACATTCCTAGCTCTAAAACAACATTTTCTTTGTTCATCATTCACATCTCCAGGCCCCTCTGATATTACTCTTGCTTTCTATTTTGAATTTTTATTCAAACAAAAAATAGAAGATTTACTGTTATGCAGACTATTGCAATATTGTAATAATTGTATAAATAATGTCAACCCATTCATGACTGCATATTAGAATGGCTACTTGGACATATATTGGAAAATGACATCATTTGTTTACTTTTGAACATCAGCAAAAATCAAACATTTCCCCTACTTTGAGCTCCATTTCAAGGTTCTTTTCATAGTAAAACCAATCAAAATCACCTCTATTTCTATAATATGTTTTCCATTCTATCAAATGAGACCAAGAAAACGAGAATACAAATTAAATACTATATGAAAATAGACCACAAAGTCGGCATTTTAATTAAAAGAAAACGGTCAGTTTTTTTTTCTCATTATGCGCTGCATGCTGCAGGATTTTTTTTATATGGTGCAAACTGACCACACAGACCCATTCTCTCACATGTGGGCCTACCAGCTTTCTCCTGCTTGATTTGAAGCCACTAGAATTTATGAGTATATACAGTAAACGTCAAAAACGGTGGCTCGTAAGACGTATATATACGACCAAAACAGTCAAAGGGTTAATAACTTCACTGATCCCATTAAATATAGTGGAACTTTGGTTGTCAAACTTAATGCGTTCCAGATGTCGGTTTGACAACCAAACCAATTTTTTTCCCATAAAAAATGATGCAAATAGAATTAATTCATTACAGACCAAAAGTGATATAATAATAATTTATTAATATAATAATGTGCTAACTACTACATAAAACAATGTATAAAATTATACACCACACTGAAACTGTAAAAATTAATACTTAATGAAAATTTAACTGAAATACTGTCCAGTAACTGAAAATTTAGCTGCCTCTTACCTGTCAGAGGAAAGCTACTGGCAAAATTCTAACGGCTTCAAATCTTGAAGAAGAAGCTGGTAGGCCTACATGCGAGAGAATGGGTCTGCATAGTCACTGTGTGCAGTATTAAAAAAAACCTGCAGCACACAGTGCATAATAAGGGAAAAAAAAAACTGCGACCTTGTTTTTGGTTTAAAACGGCGACTTCGCTGTGCATTTTTGTGTGGTATTTATGGTTGTATTCTCAGTTTCTTGGTCTCATTTGAAAGAGTGGAGATACATTACAGAAACAGAGATGATTTTCAATGGTTTAAATACTAAAAGCAGGACTTGACTTAAGAAATCGTAATGACACGATTTCAAATAAACCATACCCCCGGCCGGGATTGAACCCGCGGTCATAGAGTCTGAAAACTAGTGGCTAACGCGACGGGCTGGAGTTTTGAGACTCTATGACCGCGGGTTCAATCCCGGTCGGGGGTATGGTTTACTAAAAGCAGCTCAAAATTGAACTCAATGTAGCCAGTTGACATGTTTTGTGTTCAAAACATGTCAACTGGCGGGTCTAATATGCATTCGCAAATACACTGATAGTATTTATATAATTATTACAATTATGCAGTAATCTGAATAACAGTAAATTTTCTATTTTTTGTGTGAATAAAAAATTCAAAATGAAAAGCAAGCATAATATAAGAGGGGCCTAAAGACATGACTAATGAACAGATAAAATGTTATTTTAGTGCCAGGAATGTCTGCATTGTTTATGCTGGACCCTATTTTGAAATTAGCTTTCTTAAATTTTGTGTGAAATTGGTCAAAGTAGTAATTTCTAATCACTGTATTGGGCAGTTGAAATAGGTAAAAGGGCAGTTTCTTGTACTCAATCGATAGAATAAAAGAAGTTCTAGCAAAATAGATACAAGTTTAGTTGACTGAACAATGGAACTGGCCCAAAATAGGGCTCAAAGGGGGTGAAATCGCTGATGCATAAATATCGCCAAGACTGCTAACTTCATGATAACGTAATTCCATAAGTTTTCCATCAAATTTCATACTTTTGGTTTCATTACCTTCACAAGATGCACAGCAAAATCTCAAGATATGTTTACAGCACACGCATTAGTCGCTATACTAACCAAGACCCACACTGTGGACTGTCTGGTGATCACATGATCCGAGCATTGTCGGTCGACAACCAAAACTATATACAAAAACCAAATTGAACAAATCAGTTTGAAAACTGATTTGTTCAACAACTAGTCCATTTGACAACCAAGGTTCCACTGTACATAAATTGGTTAAGGGAGACGAGTCTCAATATTACAGTAACAAACTTTGGAGTAGAAAATTTCCTCAACATTGCAAAAATCACCACAGATAACAAATAATTAAAAGGCTAAATAACTCATGACTCACTGAAGACTTAATTAGATCAACTGATAAGAAACATGATAATGAAAATAAGTACAAGTTGAGAGGGAACAACTAAAAGAAAAAACTACATTCTTCACACTATTATAGGAGATATATGAAGAGAGCCACAAAAACTATAAATGTGTGTGTGCAGGAACCTGAGAGAGATGCAGCAGATTACTGGATATACATATATTTCTTTAGTTACCATGTCCTAAGTTAGGGAAAGCATGGTTTCCAGTCTTTTCTTACAGTTATCCAGAATTTGCATACCCTCCCTTCCTCAGTAAGAGAAAGTAACCATCTAGAAATGATTCTCCAAGTTAGCATACTCAGAAAAGGACTCGAGGAGAAAAAAAAACTCGGGGACAAGAAATGGATTCAAGATGAAATGAACTTGGATGAAGAAACAAACTTTGGAGAGAAGAAAAAAAAAAAGGGGGGGGGGGAGGAATGTACTGAGGGAGAGGAAATAAGTCAGGGAGGAGGAATGCACTCAGGGGCAAGGAACGGACTGAGAGAGGAGGAATGGACTCAGGGAGAAGTAATGGGCACAGGGAGGAAGAACAGTCTCAGGAACAAAGAACACATTCAGGAAAGATGAACACTTGGGAAGAAGAAACATTCTTGGGAAGGAGGAATATGCTTGGGAAGGAGGAATATGCAAGGAAAGGAGGAATGTATTCAGTAAAGAGGAATGCACTCAAGAAGGGGGAATGTGCTCATAGAGGAAAACCTCCAGTACACATTCCAATGTAAACAGAACAAAACTCATGAAGTTAACAGCACCTTGTAAAAATTTATTTAAGGTTACCTTCAAGAGTTACAAGGGCAAATTAGCACCTTAAGTATTTGTCCAACCTTTTCAACATACTAGCCAGGCTATTATATAAGTGAAGCACTCACCCTTGACTTACACTAAGAAACAAAGGAGGAAAATAATCATCAATCACAAAACACGTAAAAAAAAATAGAACGAAGAGATACGAAAGCACAAAAAATGTCAATAAAAAAAGTGTTGAACTATGTAAAAGGATTAAGTGGAGGCAGATAAAATAGATCATCAAATGACACTGCAATTAGAATTTAGAAATGAACTTTTAATTGGACAACAGGGAAATCTCAAGTGGTATCTCATGAAAAACTGTTTGGGTAAGCAAATAACAGTGCTGAAGTTTTTGATAAAGATGAAGTATGAATGTTAATATTTCTTTTATTGATTCATTTAACAAAAAAAATAAACATTATTTCACTGAAAATTATAAACAATTAAATGGAATCTGTCTTGCCTTTTAAGCAAAACTATCAGTAACTCTTCAGTAAAATTCTGGCTTGTGCTGAGGATTCTGCATTATTTGTCATTTTTTTTTTTTTTTTTTTTTTACTTTAAAAAGATCGAGAACATTTTACTTTGTTTCATAGTGGAGAGGCTGCACTCTGTAGATACAGTCATAGTGGACAGAAGGAGAACTGAGAGTATATACACTCTACTTGCCTTGCCTAAATCTCTAGTAAAAGGTTTCTGATCACAGAAAATATTGAGGAAAAATTCCAACATTAAAATGCTTGTCACAGCATATTAGATTGATATGCGTCCTATTTATATAGTTTTGAGAAAAGACAGTTAATATAATCTAAATGAACAGTTTTCATCTTTCATCTTGCAGTAGCACATTCTACCCAGCACAAGGGCAGAAAATAAATTACAAATTCAATGTTGCATATTCCAGGGACACACTTTCAAGTGGCAAGACCTGTCTTTTTTTTTTTTCTAACAAACAGGTCATATCCCAGCAAGGCAGGATGACCTAAAAAGAAAAATGAAAGTATTTTCTTTTAAATTTAGCAATTTATACAGAAGATGGGGTTACTAGCCCCTTGCTCCCGGCATTTTAATTACCACTTACGACACACATGGTTTATGGAGGAAGAATTCTTTTCTGCTTTCCCTGTCTTCCTCCAGTCTTGTAAGTTTCAAAAGTCTCAACTCCTATTTACACCAGCATTAAATTCACCAAGATATAAATAACAAAAATGCAGATTATAAATAGTTATATAGTAGTATATTAATTAAACAAAGAGACTTTAATTTTGAAGGGAAGAATTTTTATAGGATAAGCAATGCTTAGCTTGCTACTTACGAATACACACCACCAGGTATTTTCTATTATTTCTCCCGAGTAACATTTCAGTGAATACCCGAGATCAAGTCAGCTGAACTGGAATATATTATAATTATTTTACTGTAATACAATAAGAGTTTATGTTTAGTATACAGCACAGTACTCATCATATTCTTACCTGATATATTCTCGACTCCCATGATGGGAAGCGGTGTAAGGGTGGAGTGGGGGGCTTTTCACCATTGGTTTCCGTATCTCCCGGCCAACGAGAGTGGTCACAGCTGGGTGTATAAATCTCGCTGTAGTCATGAGCCTCATCCTTGGCTCTAGATCTTCTGCCATCATCACTCAAGTGGCTATCACCTGACCGTGCAAGCTGACTAGAATCAGTGCTCTCTGTATTGTCATACCCATCCAGCTCTAGGTCAAGACTGTCAGCACTCTTTGTAACATAAGCTGGCACACTTCCTCCTTTCTTGAGGTGCTTGGTGCGTGGCTGAGGCACAGGCTTCCGTGGACTATCTCCTCTACTGCCTGCCCGGGAACCACTTCTAGGTAAGCTGCCTGTACTTTGTGTAAGACTGTTGAGCATTACTTCTAGGGGACTCTTAGGACTTAGACTCTGAGGAGTCTCTAGGTCCACTGAGCCAGAGTCCACTCGAGAGTCTCTCGTTCTCTTCTCATCATCATATCTTCTTTCCAAACCTGTGCGTGGAAGTCCATTATGTCGAGACTTGAAGTGAATTTCACCGTAGTTAGCATCTGTGTCACTAGAACTGGCTCTTCTTAGTCCAGCCGGTGATCTTGGGGCAGCAAAACAATATAATTAATTATAGTACTCATATCCTAATTCAAATGGGAAAACATCAACAGATAATTAATACATGTTTGGGCATGTATTTTCAGGCAACAGAATAATGACTTGCATTAGTATTTTAGTGCAATGTTATAACTATATCAACAAACAAGTAATTTTCCTCATTTAATTGCTGGAGAGAGAGAGACACTCACTCACTCACACACACACACACACACACACACACACAGACACACACACACACACACACACACTGTACTCACCTACGTGTAGTTGCAGGGGTTGAGTCACAGCTCCTGACCCTGCCTTTTCAGTGTGAGTGTGAGAGTGTGAGTGTGAGTGTGAGTGTGAGTGTGAGTGTGAGTGTGAGTGTGAGTGTGAGTGTGAGTGTGAGTGTGAGTGTGTGTGAGTGTGTGTGTGTGTGTGTGTGTGTGTGTGTGTGTGTGTGTGTGTGTGTGTGAGTGTGAGTGTGAGTGTGAGTGTGAGTGTGAGTGTGTGAGTGAGTGTGAGTGTGAGTGTGAGTGTGAGTGTGTGAGTGAGTGTGTGTGTGTGTGTGTGTGTGTGTGTGTGTGTGTGTGTGTGTGTGTGTGTGTGTGTGTGTGTGTGTGTGTGTGTACTCACCTATTTGTACTCACCTATTTGTGGTTGCAGGGGTCGAGTCCTAGCTCCTGGCCCCGCCTCTTCACCGGTTGCTACTAGACCCTCTCTCTCCCCGCTCCATGAGCTTTATCAAACCTCGTCTTAAAACTGTGTATGGTTCCTGCCTCCACTACGTCATTTTCTAGGCTATTCCACTGCCTTACAACTCTATGACTGAAGAAATACTTCCTACTATCTCTCTGACTCATTTGTGTCTTCAACTTCCAATTGTGGCCTCTTGTTTCTGTGTCCCCTCCCTGGAACATCCTGTCCTTGTCCACCTTGTCTATTCCACCCAGTATTTTATATGTCGTTATCATGTCTCCCCTGACCCTCCTGTCCTCCAGTGTCGTCAGGCCGATTTCCCTTAATCTTTCTTCATAGGACATTCCCCTTAGCTCTGGAACTAACCTTGTTGCAAACCTTTGTACTTTCTCTAGTTTCTTGACGTGTGTGTGTGTGTGTGTGTGAGAGAGAGAGAGAGAGATATTTATAGTTTAAAGTGTGCAATATTAAGTGGGTTTTGCAATTCAATGTAAATGCTGTAATGGAGTAACTAAGGGTAAAGTAATTCACATTTCACTTATTCTGAGCATCTACATATACATTAAGACAATACAGTGGTCCCCCGAGATTCGTGAGCCTTGCTCTCTGTGAATTTCAATTTTTGGCAACTTTTTTCATCAAAACTTAGCCTCGCGCTTCATGATTTGCCTTGCAATTCGTCCATCATATGGAACACGTCCAAGCGATCTTCCAGCAGCCGGGCGTACACAAAGGCACCCACACAACATTCAGAGTAAATGTGGCACTGTTCCTGGGCGAGTGACCATCACCCCATGCGTTCATATGACACATTTTGTAATCATTGTTTTGTGCTTGTAACTGCTAAATAAGCCACCATGGGCCCAAAGAAAGCTTCTAGTGCCAACCTTTTGGTAAAGAACGTGAGAAACACAACAGAATTAAAGAAAAACTTTAAAGAAAAATACAAAAGTGGTGGTGGTAGAGGGTGGTAGTAGAGGGTAGTAGTGATGGTGGTAGTGATGGTGGTAGTGATGGTGGCAGAAGGTGGTAGTGATGGTGGTAGAGGGTGGTTGTGATGGTGGTAGATAGGGTGGTAGTGGTTGTGATGGTGGTAGAGATGGTGGTAGAGATGGTGGTAGAGGGTGGAAGCGGTTGTGATGGTGGTAGAGTGTGGTTGAAATGGTGGTAGAGAGGGTGGTAGTGATGGTGGTAGAGGGTGGTTGTGATGGTGGTAGAGAGGCTGGTAGAGAGGGTGGTAGAGAGGGTGGTAGAGAGGGTGGTAGAGGGTGGTGGTGGTTGTGATGATGGTAGAGGGTGGTGGTGGTTGTGACGATGGTAGAGGGTGGTGGTGGTTGTGATGATGGTAGAGGGTGGTTGTGATGATGGTAGAGGGTGGTGGCGGTTGTGATGATGGTAGAGGGTGGTGGCGGTTGTGATGATGGTAGAGGGTGGTGGCGGTTTGTGATGATGGTAGAGGGTGGTGGCGGTTGTGATGATGGTAGAGGGTGGTGGCGGTTGTGATGATGGTAGAGGTTGATTGTGATGGTGGTAAAGGGTGGCAGAGATGGTGGTAGAGGGTGGTAGAGATGGTGGTAGAGGGTAGTAGAGATGGTGGTAGAGGGTGGCAGTGATGGTGGTAGAGGATGGCAGTGATGGTGGTAGAGGATGGTGGTAGAGAGTGGTAGTGATGGTGGTAGAGGGTGGTAGTGATGGTGGTAGAGGGTGGTAGTGATGGTGGTAGAGGGTGGTGGTGGCTGTGATGATGGTAGAGGGTGACTGTGATGGTGGTAGAGGGTGACTGTGATGGTGGTAGAGGGTGGTAGAGATGGTGGTAGAGGGTGGTAATGATGGTAGAGGGTGGTAGAGAGGGTGGTAGAAGGTGGTGGTGAAGGTGGTTGAGGGTGGTTGTTGCGGCCCCCTGCCAAACTAGCGGTTAAATAGTTAACCTGCCGGCCGGCAGTACCACTGGGTACGTCATCAAACCCAATGTGGGGACTGCTGAGCCGGCCTTAGAGCAGTAAGTTCCTGAGTGCCTCACGGTGCACATCTAAGCAGTAGGTACCTGACCACCTAAGGGTACAGTCTACTGGCTTTAGTAACAGTATGTACCTGAGCGCCTCAGGATACGCACCTAAGCAGTAGGTACCTGAACACCTAAGGGTACACGTCTACTGGCTTTAGCAACAGTATGTACCTGAGCGCCGCACTGTACGCACCTAAGCAGTAGGTACCTGAACTCCTCAGGGTACACATCTACGCAGTAGGTACCTGACCACCTAATCGTACCTATCTACTGGCGTTAGAAGAACCGCTCACCGCAGCTCACTGAGTCTGTTGGCCTCAGTTACTTGACGGCCGCATTCAGTGAGCTTGCAGCATGGTGTTCGGCTAGCAGTGTGTCAACCGGCTTTGGAGAGGATTTACTGGACTACCGGTGATGTCTGTGGACTCACTGTCTACGCTGATCAACTGTGGGCCGGAGTCATCAGATGCTGTTTAGTGGGACATTACATGAAGAAAAGGTTGGAGTGTTACACTGAACTGGGCCAGGACCGTAGTGTGACACTTAGGGACGTATGATGGAGTGGAACACTGAGATATGCACAGGACCGTAGTGGAACACTGAGATGAAAAGGGTGTCGTGGGACACTGAAGATGGCCTGGTTGTAGTGTACACTGAATAGTGTCATGTGACTGGCCTCGACCGGATAAGTGTCGTGAGAAGCAGTTGATTGTAATTTATTATTATACAAATGTTATTTATAATTTATTATTTTAGCATAGAGATATATGTAGTGTCAAGAGAGTTGTATCCTGTGTAGGGTCACGAATAATTATTTATTATTTTAGTTAGATGCTAATTATAATTTATTATAGTAACATGTACATATCATATATCATAGTTCAAATACCTCTAGACCAAAGATAGTTGATTTTTATATATTAAAGATTAATTGATTTTAATGTGTGTATTTATGTATCCCGAACTCTTTATTACAAAAGGAGTAAATCTTGCTATCATCTTTTAAAAATTACTTTTTTGTAATAGTGGTATTGGTTGTGATGGTGGTTGAGGGTGGTATTGGTTGTGATGGTGGTTGAGGGTGGTATTGGTTGTGATGGTGGTAGAGAGTGGTTGTAATGGTGGTAGAGAGTGGTTGTAATGGTGGTAGAGAGTGGTTGTAATGGTGGTAGAGAGTGGTTGTAATGTTGGTAGAGAGTGGTAATGATGGTGGTAGAGGGGGTGGTAGTGATGGTGGTAGAGGGTGGTGGTGGTTGTGATGATGGTAGAGGGTGGTAGAGATGGTGGTAGAGGGTGGTAAGAGGGTGGTAGAAGGTGGTAGTGATGGTGGTAGAGTGGGTGGTAGTGGTGGTAGAGAGGGTGGTAGAGATGGTGGTAGAGAGGGTGGTAGAGAGGGTGGTAGGGGTAGTGATGGTGGTAGAGGGTGGTAGTGATGGTGGTAGAGGGTGGTTGTGATGGTGGTAGAGGGTGGTTGTGATGGTGGTAGAGGGTGGTTGTGATGGTGGTAGAGGGTGGTAGAGAGTGGTAGTCATGGTGGTAGAGGGTGGTAGAGAGTGGTAGTCATGGTGGTAGAGGGTGGTAGTGATGGTGGTAGAGGGTGGTAGTGATGGTGGTAGAGGGTGGTAGTGATGGTGGTAGAGGGTGGTAGTGATGGTGGTAGAGGGTGGTAGTGATGGTGGTAGAGGGTGGTAGTGATGGTGGTAGAGGGTGGTAGTGATGGTGGTAGAGGGTGGTAGTGATGGTGGTAGAGGACAGAGCTGCAAGAGCTCTCTGAACAGCTTTATGTGCAACAGGGGTCCAGTGACTTCTCCATCCTCTCCCATCCTCCCATCTTCCATACACCACCAAGAGTCTTCAATAAAGGCAAGTGTGATGTTATTATTGTTATATACTTGATTTCTCATTCTTTTCTGTATGTAAATCTATATTTAATCTATAAAAAAAATAATTTTTGTTAATACTTTTGGGTGCCTGGAGCAGTTTAATTAAATTTACATTATTTCTTATGGGGAAAATGGTTTTGACATTCGTGAATTCCAACTTTTGGCAGACTCTCTGGAACGGATTAATCACAAAACTCGGGGCCCCACTGTATAATAATCCAAAAAATACCTTTTATACCACCTTATACTTCAAAAATATCTTCCTAGCTAACCTCACTTTAACCCTTAACCCTTTCAGGGTCCGTCCCGTAGATCTATGGCTTTACGGTGAGTGTCCAAACCGTAGATCTACGCCATGAGCTCAGCTCACTCTGATAAACTGAGTGGTACATTTGGGCCTAGATATGAGAGAATACATCTATGTGGTATGTGTGCACCACATAAAACAGATCCTGCAGCACACTGTGTATAATGAGAGAAAAAAACTGAAATCATGATTTTTCGATTAAAACAGCAACTTTGCAGTGTTTTTTCGTATGTTTTTTATAGTTGTATTTGCGATTTCTTGGTCTCATTTGATAGAATGGAAGACATATTACAGAAATAGAGATAATTTTGATTGGTTTTAGCACTGGAAATGGTTTGAAACTGAGCTCAAAGTAGCGGAAATGTTAAATTTTTGCCGATATTCAAGAGTAAACAAACGACCTCACACGTCTAATACACGTCAGCTGGTGGGTCTAATACACATTCACAAATATGGTGATGATATTTATACAATTATTACAGTATTGCATAACAGTAAATCTTCTATTTTTTGGTGTGAATAAAAATTCATTATGTGAATAAAAAATCAAAATGGAATTTATTTGTAAAGCCTCAAAACATAACTAATGAACAGAGGAAATGTTAGTTTAGTGCCAGGAATGCCTACATTGTTTATTCTGGACCCTATTTTGAAATTGGAATATTTTGAACTTTGTGTGTTAAATTGGCCAAATTAACAATTTCCGATCACTTTATTTTGTAGTTGAAACAGTTGACTTGGCGATTTCTTGTGCTCAATCGATAGAATAGAAGTAATACTAGTGAAATAGCTAAGAATTTAGTTGATTGGAATAATGTAATTGGCCTAAAATGGGAGTCAAAGTCGGCAAAATCGCCGATTCGTAAATATCGCGGACACATCAAAATTCGCGAGAGCATAATTTCGTCAATTTTCCACCAAATTTCGTACTTTTTGTTTTATTACCTTCACAAAAAGATTCTCTACGATTTCATAAGAAAAAATATTTTTTTTTTTTTAAATTCTTGGACACTGGGCCGTGACTCCAGATTTGGGCCTTGGACCCTGAAAGGGTTAAACTGTCCAAACTTAGGTCTACATTAACATGCGTAGGGCTCCGACCTTGATTTTCCACATTTGTGGTTGTGATGGTGGTAGGGGGTTGTTGTGATGGTGGTAGAGGGTGCTAGAGATGGTGGTAGAGGGTAGTATTGGTTGTGATGGTGGTAGAGAGTGGTTGTAATGGTGGTAGAGAGTTGTAATGATGGTGGTAGAGGGGGTGGTAGTGATGGTGGTAGAGGGGGTGGTAGTGATGGTGGTAGAGGGTGGTGGTGGTTGTGATGATGTAGAGGGTGGTAGAAATGGTGGTAGAAATGGTGGTAGAGGGTGGTAGAGAGGGTGGTAGAGAGGGTGGCAGAGGGTGGCAGAGGGTGGTAGAGGTGGGGAGAGGGTGGTAGAGGTGGTAGAGAGGGTGGTAGAAGGTGGTTAGTGATGGTGGTAGAAATGGGTGGTAGTGGTGGTAGAGAGGGTGGTAGAGAGGGTGGTAGAGGGGGTGGTAGAGATGGTGGTAGAGATGGTGTAGAGATGGGGTAGAGAGGGTGGTAGAGATGGTGGTAGAGAGGGGGTAGAGTGGGGGGTTTAGAGAGGTGGTAGAAGGGTGGTAGAGAGGTGGTAGAGGGTGGTTGTGATGGTGGTAGAGGGGGGTTGTGAGGTGGTGGGAGGGTGGTAGTGATGGTGGTAGAGAGGATGGTAGTGATGGTCATAGAGGGGGTTAGCGGTTGTAAATGGCAGTAGAGGTTGTAGAGGGTGGTAGTGATGGTGAGGGGTGGTTGTGATGTGGTAGAGTGTGTTGTGATGGTAGAGGGTGGTAGTGATGGGGGTTTAGAGGGTGTAGGGGGGTGGTGGGGATGGTGGTAGAGGTTTGTAGTGATGGGGGTTTAGGGGTGGTAGTTGGGTGATGGGGGTGGTAAAGGGTGGTAGTGATGGTGGTAGGGGTGGTAGTGAGGGGGTAGGTGGTTGGATGGGGGTTTAGAGTGGGGGTTGGAGGTGGTGTGTTTTGGTGGTAGTGGTTCTGATGGTGGAGGAGGGTGGTACTGGTTGTGATGGTGGTAGAGGGTGGTAGTGATGGTGGTAGAGGACAGAGCTGCAAGAGCTCTCTGAACAGCTTTATGTGCAACAGGGGTCCAGTGACTCCTCCATCCTCTCCCATCCTCCCATCTTCCATACACCACCAAGAGTCTTCAATAAAGGCAAGTGTGATGTTATTATTGTTATATACTTGATTTCTCATTCTTTTCTGTATGTAAATCTATATTTAATCTATAAAAAAAATAATTTTTGTTAATACTTTTGGGTGCCTGGAGCAGATTAATTAAATTTACATTATTTCTTATGGGGAAAATGGTTTCGACATTCGTGAATTCCAACTTTTGGCAGACTCTCTGGAACGGATTAATCACAAAACTCGGGGCCCCGCTGTATAATAATCCAAAAAATACCTTTTATACCACTTTATACTTCAAAAATATCTTCCTAGCTAACCTCACTTTAACCCTTAAACTGTCCAAACTTAGGTCTACATTCACATGCGGAGGGCTCCGACCTTGATTTTCCCCATTTGAAGGCATGTAAAAAAAAAATGCAGATCTATGTTTGGAGCCTGCCGCATGTCAATGTATATCTACGTTTGGACAGTTTAAGGATTAAACTCTAAATTATTACTAAATTAGGTGAAACCCCTACACTGCATATTAACCAGATAAACTACTGTTGAAATTTCTCAAATATTTCTAATAATTCATCCACATGATTTTCTAGACTAACCCTCAATGATGGCGAGTCAAGACATTTGCCCTCTCCTTGGGTAATATAAAGGCATATAACTGTGCAAGTCTTCAATTAGATAACATCTAGCTCAAAAGTCAAATAAGCACATACAGTGGAACCTCTGGTCACGACCATAATTTGTCCCAAAACTCTGGTCGTAATCCAATTTGGTCATGACCCGTACCTAATTTCCCCACTGGATTGTATGTAAATATGATTAATCCATTCCAGACCCCTACAAACCAGTTTTGGCAATCCCGCACCTCCTCCTAACTTCCAAACAACGAATTCTCTGCATTATATTCACACCACACATTGCCCTCAGACATGACATCTCCACTGCCTCCAGCCTTCTCCTCGCTGCAACATTCATCACCCATGCTTCACACCCATATAAGAGCGTTGGTAAAACTATACTCTCATACATTCCCCTCTTTGCCTTCAAGGACAAAGTTCTTTGTCTCCACAGACTCCTAAGTGCACCACTCACCCTTTTCCCCTCATCAATTCTATGATTCACCTCATCTTTCATAGACCCATCCGCTGACACGTCCACTCCCAAATATCGAATACATTCACCTCCCCCATACTCTCTCCCTCCAATTTTTGATATCCAATCTTTCATCACCTAATCTTTTTATCCTCATAACCTTACTCTTTCCTATATTCACATTAATTTTCTTCTTTGCACACCCTACCAAATTCATCCACCAATCTCTGCAACTTCTCTTCAGAATCTCCCAAGAGCACAGTGTCATCAGCAAAGAGCAACTGTGACAACTCCCACTTTATGTGTGATTCTTTATCTTTTAACTCCATGCCTCTTGCCAAGACCCTCGCATTTACTTCTCTTACAACCCCATCTATAAATATATTAAACAACCACGGTGACATCACACATCCTTGTCTAAGGCCTACTTTTACTGGGAAATAATTTCCCTCTTTCCTACATACTCTAATACCTCCTGAAAAATAAATTGGAACTCAAGTGCCTCCTGGTATTAGACAATGCTCCTGATCATCCTCCAGACTTGGAAGAGCAAATGGTGCCAGAGTTTAGTTTCATCAAAGTCAAGTTTTTGCCTCCTAACACCACTCCTCTCCTCCAGCCCATGGACCAACAGGTCATTTCAAACTTCAAAAAACTGTACATAAAAGCAGCATTTCAAAAGTTCTTTGAAGTGAACTCAGACACTGAATTGACCCTAAGAGAGTTCTGGAAAGATCACTTCAGTATCCTCAGTTGCATAAACCTTGTAGGTAAGGCTTGGGAGGGAGTGACTTCCAGAACTTTGAACTCTGCTTGAAGAAAATTGTGGCCAGAATGTGTACAAGAGAGGGATTTTGAAGGGTTTGGGGCTGAACCTGAAGAGCCTATGCCAGCTGTGGAATCTACTGTGACACTGTGGCCCGGTGGCCTGGTGGCTAAAGCTCCCGCTTCACACACGGAGGGCCCGGGTTCGATTCCCAGCGGGTGGAAACATTTCGACACGTTTCCTTACACCTGTTGTCCTGTTCACCTAGCAGCAAATAGGTACCTGGGTGTTAGTCGACTGGTGTGGGTCGCATCCTGGGGGACAAGATTAAGGACCCCAATGGAAATAAGTTAGACAGTCCTCGATGACGCATGACTTTCTTGGGTTATCCTGGGTGGCTAACCCTCCGGGGTTAAAAATCCGAACGAAATCTTATCTTATCTTATCTGGGGAAATCCATGGGGTTGGAGGTTAGTGGCAAGGGTGTGGAAGAGTTGGTGGAGGATGATGATGAAGAGCTAACCATTACAGAGCTGCAAGAGCTTAAGGTGCAACACCAACAGACCACAGCTCAAGAATTTCCTTCAGAGGAAGAGGAAGAGAGATGGAGGAAGTTGCCTTTTTTGAAGAATAAGGACATTTGTACAATGTGGATTGAAATGCAAACCTTTATGGATGAACATCACCCTGACACAGCTGTTGAAGGCCGTGCTGGCAACATCTACAATTAGTGTTGTGTCCCATTTTAGGGAAATCTTAAAAAGACGCCAGAAACAGGGCTCTCTGGACAGATTTTTGGTGCGACAGGGGTCCAGTGACTTTCAAGTTGGTCCCAATGCCATTAACCCTTTGACTGTCGCAACCCCCAATAATGAGGTGTCTCCTGGTGTCGCAAAATTTAAAAAAAAAAAAAATTATTTTTTCTTATGAAATGATAGAGAATCTTTTCCCGAATGTAATGACACCAAAAAAAAAAAACGAAATTTGATGGAAAACTGACGGAATTATGCTCTCGCGAAGTTAGCGACCTCGGCACTGTTTACAAATCGGCGATTTTGCCCACTTTGAGCCCTATTATCGGCTAATTCCATTGTTCCAGTCGCCCAAACTCATAGCTATTTCTTTAGAACTCCATTTTTTCTATCGATTGAGTACAAGAAACTGCCCATTTACCTATTTCAACTACCTAATAATGTGGTCAGAAATTTGCAATTTGGCCAATTTCACGAAAACTAAAAAATATGACAATTTCAAAATAAGGTCCAGAATGAACAATGCAGACATTCCTGGGTCTAAAATAACATTTTCTTTTTCTCATCAGTCATGTCTCCAGGCCCCTGATATTACTCTTGCTTTCTATTTTTAATTTTTATTCAAACAAAAAATAAAGACTTACTATATGCAGACTACTGCAATACTGAATAATTGTATAGATAACATCAACCCATTCATGACTGCATATTAGAATGGCTAGTGGACATTTATTGGACAAAGGCAAACATTTGTTACTTTTGAAAAATTGGCAAAAATCAAACATTTCCCCTACTTTGAGCTCCATTTCTAGGTTCTTTTTATGTAAAATCAATCAAAATCACCTCTATTTCTGTAATATGGTTTCCATTCTATTTCCCAAAGAGACCAAGAAAAAAGAATACAACCATAAATACTATACGAAATAGACCACAAAGTCGG